TTTGTTCGAGAAATATCTCCGTCCCATCTAAATAGCCTTATTTTATTTTTTACATAGATTAAGAAATTTTATTTAAACAACAAATTTTGTCAAAATTTTCCCAATTTATCGTTTTTTATATTTGTATAATTTTAAGATTAAGGTCTTCTTTGACCCACTTTTTTCAAAAAATATATTTTTAAACAGTGATTTACATCATTTCAATAACACATTTTTCAATAAAATAATTTATAAGTAAATTCAAAAATTTTCTTTATATTTTAATCAAACATTTCTCATCAATACACTATTCAAAAATGTATTCTTATGAAAATAATATGACTCAAACAAAAGCGAAGCAAGAAAAATTGGTTATAATTAAGCAAATTAAATAAGGATATATTAGTAAAAAAATAAAAAAAAAAAACATTCTCATTAAAAAAATATAACTATATAATTGAAATAAGAAAATAAAGAAAGTCGGTCTATATAAATGAGATGGAAAGAGTATTTCGTAAATTCTTAGAATGATCTTGACCGTCCATTTATGTGTCAAAGTGCCACTATATACTGATATTTTCTTTAGGGAATCTGGATCCTTCCATGAAATTAGGGTTCTTTTAGCCTCCGTTTGACCCCATTAAATTACATATATTTTTCTTTTTTATTTTTAATCATATAATTTTTCATAAAATAATATTACACATAGATAGAAGATTTTTCTTTCTTTTTCAACCTTTCATTTTTAAAAAAAAATATTATTTCACCAATTTTCATTTAAAAAAATAGGGCAAACGGGGCTTAAAAATTTCTTTTACGTGAAAATTCGTGGTTGAGGTTGGATAACCTTTGTCTGTTTTGGAAACAGTTGAGTTATATCACACCATACTTTTCATTTATTGCACTGCTTCTGAATTTGATTGAATGACTCCAATCTTTTCTTATTGTCTAACTTATATCCTCATTTTTATTTGTGGCGTTTCAATCTTACATTGACTACCATATCTGTTCTTGGATAATGATTTTTCTATAAAGTCATGTTTTATTGAAAATTAAAATTCAGATTTTAATTTAAATCAAAGTTAATAATTAATTATAACTATACGTTTCATAGAATCCACAACTTTTCAACCATACATTTTATTAATTTTTATCAAAATTTACTAAAAATCTGATTTTAATTTCACCAGGGAATAAACATTCTATTAACATACTTTGAGATTAGGTTTTTTATTTTTATATTTGCCCGTTAATAGATATATGAGGAATAAATAAGTCTTTTTATGTTTTAACAAACCGTCACTACGGATTAGACGTGCTCATAAATG